ATCACTAACTTATGATTCACCAATTAATCATTGATTGGCTGAAGATTATGTGATATTAGTATAGTCATCAACTTAGTGATTATATAGAAGTCTGACTAAAGAATTATATCAATAACTTCTTTGATTGTAATGTTCTCAGGCTTGTTTAATAATTTAAATCATTCAAAAAGAAAATATCCGTAGCATTAGAATCTGTGGCAATTTGTGCTAACGTTAATGGTTTTTTATTGTCAATTAATATATATATACATACTGTACGCTTACGGTATTAATACGTATACTTTTTAAACAATATTTTTTAATAATAATAATCTGTAATCCGCCTATAAGTGATAGTATTCATATAATAAAATTTGAGGCAAATTTAATACGTATAAGTATCAAATATAGTCACAATCCGACTTTGCTCTGTAGTAAAATCTTTTTTTTTTTATCAAGTTGATCTTTTCAACTTATAATAAGAGCTGGATTTTGTTATTCTATAGATAGTAAATTCATTAAACTCTGCCTGGTAGATATCTTAATGCGATCTTATAAAATTCTTTATCAAAGTTGTAAAGAAATTTTATAAGATATAAATAAATAAGAGTTAAGAAATCTAAAAAACTACAAAGTCAATTTTAATGAATTTACTACTATTAGAATTACAAAATCCAGCTCTACAACTTTTATTAGAAGTTAAAAAAAAAATTTAAAAAATTTTTTTTTACTATAGGCAAAGTCGGATTGTGATTATATTTTGATACTTATATTAAAATTGCCACAAATTTTATTATATGAATACTATCACTTATAGGCGGATCACGAATTAAGGGTTTAATATAAAGAGAATTAATTATAAATTTAGAGATTTATCTAATATTATTTGGCATGTTTGCTTAGGATAAGTAATATGAGCTTTCTAGAAAAAATACTTTAAAACAAGGAAATAGATATTTCCATACCCTTGTAAACGGTTACTTGCATAGTTGCACAATTGCAAATTAAATTTTGAGCAACTTTTTTTTTGCACATGTGCATCACTTTTTTAAAATTTTGATCGAAAATATCTTGACAACTACCTCGATGAACTTTTTTTTATTTTGAATTCTATAGATCCATAGAATTCAACCAAAAAAAATTCATCGAATTTCATCAGGTAGTTGTCGAGGCAAAAATACTGTTCATCGGTACCGATCCTGATGGAGCTAAAAAAAGATTTTTATTTGAGTGATAGGGTTTTAAAAACGAACTCTAATCCTAACATTTGTCATATACTTCACTATGGTTGTATAGTATTTTAGAGCCCTTTTGTCGGGAGCGGTATTTAAATCGATATTTGTTTTTTTTTTTACCTTATCAAGAACAGTACCGACGATCCATCAGGAACGGTATTTTTGCGTTGTCGAGATATCTTCGATCAAAGTTTAAAAAATTTCAAACGTCTGTCAAAATATAAGCCGCGGCAAAATTTTGATCGAAGGTATCTCGATAACCACTCGATGAACTTTCATTTGCTTGAATCTATGGATCCATAGAATTCAAATAAAAATAAGTTATTTACATGGGTGTGGAAATATCGATATCAGGTCTTATAACTGTATAAATAATTCAAATAGTCATTGTTACGCAAAAATTCATGAAATCGATATTTAATATTATAACGATATAATAACGATAATACATTTTATTAACGTTAACGTTTAAGATAAATATTCAACTTAAGCTTTTGTGAAAAATGGCAGCACGTGGAGGCGTAAACTCGAAGGGTGAAGTCGCACCTCAACCTGTCAAAGTTCAGCGATATTGGCCTGGAAAAGTTCCGGAAGGAATACATGATTACTCTTCGGAAGAAGAAGAGGAGGAACCATTCGAAAGGGAACCCGAAATTATAACTACTATTGAAAAGGTAGATATAACGGAAAAAGAAGCAGCTTCAGATCGCAGACTAAGAAGGTTAAAAGAGGCCAAGGAAGATGGATCTTCTGAAGTAATTGATAGAAGACGAAGACATTTTAAAGAAGAGGATCAAGATGTCAGAGATCTACAGTTACGTCATGTTAAAGTGGAACAAGATGCTGAAGTAAAAATAGAGGAGGAAGAGGATGATTTAGCACTTCGTCGAAAGCGCTTAAGAGATCGTGTATTAGAACAACGAAAACAAGAAGAAGAGCAATTAAAGGCTATGGAAGAGGCAGAAAAGGCTCAGTCCACTCAAACAGAAGAGGAGGTATTTTATCAATTAGTTCATAGTATTGTTCATACCATTAGATATTTTAACATTTCATTAATGTGTAGGAAAGTGAAGGTGAAGAAACTTCAGAGTATGAAACCGATTCAGAAGAAGAACAAGCATCGAGAAAATTATTAAAACCTGTATTTATTCCAAGGCATGTATTATAATTTAGACTAAATATAATTTAATTCAAGAGCTAATTATTATTTATTTATTTAGAACCCATAGGGAAACAATACTTGAAAAAGAAAAAAAGGAAAAATTAGAAGAGGAGGCAGAAGCAAAGAGATTGCAAGAACTAGAAGAGAGAAAAAAAGAGTCACATTTAATGGTTGCAGAAGTAATTCAAAAAGAATTACAAAAAACTGGTGAATTTCTTTTTAATACACTATTTTCATATATACAACTTAGATGTATATTTCTAACTAAAATAGGCTTATATAATTTCCAGTCAAAGAAGAAACTGGCGTCAGTGAAGTCGATGATACAGATGGTTTGGATGAACAGGCAGAATACGAGGCATGGAAATTACGTGAACTGAAAAGAATTAAGAGAGATAAAGAAGAACGCGAAGCGTATGTAGGATTTCGGTTATTTCGTTGAAAGAATCTTTTGTCATTAATGAAATAATGTCACATTCGGATATCATTCTTTTTTAGGAGAGAAAAAGAACAAGAAGAAATTGAACGGAGACGTAATATGAGTGAAGAACAACGTTTATCGGAAGATATGGAGCGTGTAAGAGCACAACGTGAAAAAAAACCACACGGACAATATAAATTCCTGCAAAAATATTATCACAAGGGTGCTTTCTATATAGTAAGTTGATTAATTATTAATTTTTAGTGAAACGATGTATTATATTAACGATTAATATTTATTTTGGTAATCTTAGAGTTCAGATGAAAAAATTTTCAAACGTGATTATACTGAAGCAACACCCGATGAAGCAGGTACTAATCAACAAATTTACTTTTCTAGATTAGATTCTTCTTTTCCTGTTTATTACAATGTTATTTATTTTTAATTGTATTGAATATTTATTTTAGCTCACAAGGAGCTATTGCCCAAAGTTATGCAAGTCAAGAACTTTGGTCGAGCAGGACAAACTAAATGGACTCATTTAGCTGATCAAGATACTTCAAAGGTTAGTTTTATCGCTTAACTATCTTACTAAGTAATTTCATGAAAATTGATATAAATTCATTATTATTTACAGAAAGATGCAGTGTGGAGTCAGAACACTGGAATTAATAAATCAATGCTATCAAAGTTGGGTGGTTTGCATGGAGGGTTTGATAAGCCTACATCAAAAAGACGGAGAACTAAGTAATTTCATAATATATAGTATTTACATTGTAAGTACTATCATATTAAATTGTATCAATAGTGATATGCTGTATCTAGTACCCCATTCACAATTTTCAATCCGTTTTTTTCCTGTTCACATGTTAATTAGAATTAAAACCAAAATTTTAGTAAGTTGAACTATTCAAATCTACTGGATGTGCACTATAAACTTCTACAGTAGTAGTCGAGATTTGTAAGGTAACAATAACCCTCATTGGGCATTTGATATCAGTCGATTCTGGCATAATTCGAAACCAAAGAGACAAATATTGTTATGATGAATAGAATAATTTATTTGCCTGCGATTATAATGATGAGAGTCGTAAAATATTGTTTTGATGAGTCCTTTAGAATACTATATAATTATTGCGTAGCTAAGTATATGAAGGAATTCGCCTCGAGTTATTTTAAGATTTCTATCAGGAATGCTATGAAAATAATTTTTTTGACCCCATCAGAAATAATACTTTTACATTAATGTTCACCAACACCAAGGTATACATGGGTGCCTAAATTATTTTTCTCTTAGCGTAAATCTAGACTGTCATAATTTAGTTTAATATGGAGAAGTAATTTAGTATACCGAGGTTATTTATGGATGATAAATATATTTTTGGATGGCAAGTCTTTTTGTATGGGAAGCATTTAACTACTTCAAACTGCTTTAAATTATTATACATTTAATAAAACCATAAAAATATGTACTGAAATCAATTAAATCTTTTATCATTGATAAAAAAAAATTATAAATAAAATTTTATATGTATTATAATTTAATTTTACTTAATAGACTATAAAATTGTTAAACATTGCTTCAAGACTAACTAGTGTATTTGATTATTTTACAATTTTGAATTGAAGTTTTGTTTTATATGGTTTTTGTTTACATATTCTAGTAAATAAAAATAGCAATAATTTTTTTTTTTTTAAGAGAGGTCTTTTCTCTAGTTCTTTATTTCAGTAATATATAATTAAGTACAACTAGTACAAATTGATACATTAAACTAAGAAAGTAAGGGTTAGAGTGAATTTATCCTTAACCTATTCTTAGCTAGAATAGTTAAGAGACCTTTAGTCTATGGGTTTGATAAGAAGGGATGTTTGGTTTAATTGTATAAATCTATTGAGTTATATAGTATATTGTCTATTTATTGACATTACTAATGTATTGTCTGGGTTAATGTTAATAAAAGTTGGTTGAAATAGAATATGCTATTCAACATGTGTTCTACTTGGTTTACATATATATTTATATATCTTTTTTGTAATTTGGTGATAAATGTTTAGTAATAAATTCCTTTTTAATGATCCAAAATTGATTAAATTGTTTGTTATAATTCTAATAAGAATTTGTTAATATATGTAGATGTTTTAGATTTCTTGAGTTAAATCTATTGATATAGTTGATTCAATTTCATTATCTTTACAGGTTTTTGTTATTGTTTCTTTTATAATTTCTTTTAGTTCTATTTGGTTGTAAGGACAAGTAAGTATATAGACTGTATTTTCTAGTATGTTTAGACAATTTGTACTGTACAAAATAAGTTAGTGTGAGTTTTTAAATTTTTTTTGTAAAAGTTGAGATGTGTTAGTAATTCTAAGATCAGAATTTTGATTTTGAATATTTTTAAATTAAATTTTGTAGAGTTGGTATTTTAGCTAAAAAATTTGTTTTTGAAATTAAAATATTTGAATATAAGTTTTTAATTAATATTAAAAAAATTATCAGAGATAGGTTTGATGTATTTTTGATTATTCTATATAATAATTGCTTTTGCTTGTTGTAGGGTTTTTAGTATTTGAAAATTTGTATAAATAGTTGATGTATTTAGTATACAGAAGATAAAAATAGTGTTAAGTACTGTATTAGAAAGTAAGTTAGTATGAAATTAAAAAAAAGCATTTTTATATTAATCTTTTCTTCTGTTAAATTAATTTGAATCTTCAGGTTTTTAATATTATTTATAGTACTAAGAAAAATAATTATATTATTAAAAGGAGTTTTTCTTAGTTAATATTTCTGTTTAGATAAAGTTGCAATTATTATTAAAATTTTGTTATAAATATTATTTTTTTATCAGTTATTATTTGAATTTTTATTCCTTTTATTATTATTATAAGAATTATTACAAGCATTATAAACATTGCATAATCTGAAAAAAGAAAAGTCTAGTTCAGTATTGTCACAGTACAGCTTTGAACAAATTGTAAACAATTGTGAACAATTTTGGACAAAAAAACAAATCTAAATTACTTAAAATTTTATTAAGATAATCTATTTTAATTTTTAAATAAAAATATTCAGAACTATAAAAAATATATAATCATATCTTTTTTAAATTGATTTATTAAATTTTAAAGTCTAAAATTTCTTTGAACAATTGTGAACAGTATGGATGTTTGGATATGGACAAAACCAAAAAAAATCTTGGACATAGTAAATATGACAACACTGGTCTAGTTGGTGCAATGCCAAATATAATTGTTATGCTAATATAACAGTTAAACAAATAGTATATTATAGGAGGTGTGGCAACCTAGTGAAGTGAATAGATTCTCAACCCCCAAGTGACAGGTCTAGAGTTCAAATCCCAATAATGATAAAAAATTTGTAATTCTTTTTATATTATGGTTAACTGTCTTCTGTAATTAGTTGGAATTAGATATCTACAATCCAAGTTATACCAATATAACTGAAAGGTTTAGGTACTCATACAATATTGTATAAAGGAACACAAACCAGTACTAAGTGGTATGAATTCAAGATAAGTTTTTAGATCATGTAAATCACAGAAACCAGATAAAAAGATAGAAGCCTACTTGGAAGACCTAAGTAAAAAGATAATCTGAACTTTCAATAGTACTACTGTAAAGACTAAACCTATGAAATGAAGCTAAAACTTGTAAAACTAGGCAAATGTGTTAGTTTTTAAAGAGAAAATAGATGAACCAGCCAAGCTACAGAAATTTCCAGATTTCAGAAAAAAAAGATACATGTCAGCAAACATGTAAACCAGAGGTGTATGATTATAACCTACCTTTCCAGACTATTTGAAATAGCAGCTTGGTAGAAATTAAATTGGATATCAAAGTAATAGAAATATGTTGTGAAGTTAATACCAAGATTGAAATAAACTTTACAAAGACATAGTAGTTTAATCATATGTCCTAACTGCCAGTATTGGTCTTAGTCATAGCAATACCAAGTTAGCTGTAAGAATAGAATACAGAAAATTCTAGAAGGTTTGGTACAAGGTCAAAGGTTTTAAAGAACTGCTTTAAAGACTTAGTAACTATAGCATATTCACTGGTATTGGCTAGAGTTATTGATAGGCAGAAATAAATGAGTAGATATAGAAACTAGAATAATTAAATAGAAAATCTATAAGCAGGTTCCAGGTATAACAGCTAGCATAGAACCTTTAAATAAACTACTTAAATTAGACAATAACTAAAGTTGTACAAGTAACTAGTTGTACACTCTTTTATGATTGTTTTCTGTAGTTGTAATGTAACCATTAGCCAAATATATTATCAATAAATTCTGGATCACAAGTACTCACCTTAATATTTAAAAAAAAAAAATAGTGTATTATGTTTATTTGTTTTTTTTGTAACTAGTTGTAAGTTTGAAATTTAGTTCTTTTGGAAATAAACTTATTATATATATTTTCTATATACCCTTTTAATTTTTGCAAAGCTCTGTATAAATCAATAGTTAGTTTGGTATTTTTTAATTGGTAACAGAAGTTTGTAGTTTTGTTTAGGTTATGTAGTTCTTTAATAAAAATGTAGACAATTAAGATTTGTATAAATTTATTTGTAATAGTTAACTTGAATTTTAAAAGTTAGGTGTATTGGATTAGTAAAGTAGCAGTATATTGTTTTAAATTTTAAGTTATTGATTTGACATTTAAGACATGATATTAGTTAATAAGCATTTAGTAGTTAAGTATTATAATATTTAATTTTAGCTTAATTATTACTAATACTTGTTATTTTTCTAAATAGTTGTAATTTTGTAATTATCTATTGTAAGATAGTATTATTAATTTTTATAAAGATGTATAAATTAGAATAATTTAGTGTTATAGATATGTTTGTTAATGAGGTTATATTGTCTGTAATTGCTTTAAACTATTTTGGTATTTTTTCTCTTAGTATTTTTTATATATTATGATAAAATGATTTTCAATTTAGAATATTATAGTTTGAATAATTAAAAAATTGTTTAATATAGGTGATGTTGTAATTATTGAATTTTTGTTTAATACAGTACAATTGTTTTATTAAATAAAAAATTTGGTTAATAGATGTGCATTTTGTTTGTTTAGAAATAGGCTATAGATTAGCTATATGTTTAAGCTATATATTTAGTAAATAAAGTGTAAGTATCATCTAAGTTGTATTTATTTTAGCTTTATTTGTAGTTAATACTAGTTGTTTTAATAAGATTAATTTGTTTGAATTAGCTAAGTTTTGAATTTGTTAAAGCTAAATTTTTAAACTTTAGATGTCAAAGTTAGAAGCATTTATACTTCAATCTAATATATAAATTTGCTATTGTTATTAGATATTATAAACAAAGTTGATATAAACCAGTCAATGGTTAAGCTTTACTAAACCAGTTTGACCAATTTAACCAGTTGGTCAAAGGGTTTAGTATTGATCAAATTAGTCAAATTGGTTAAATAATATATAAAGTATATAAATATATTTGTTTATTTATTTGTATATTAAAATTATTTATTTAATAAGCTAGACTATTTGACCAATTTAACCAGACCAGTAGATCAATTTAACCAGATCAGTTTAATTAACAAATTTTGGTTGACTAGTAATTTGATCAACCCTGATTAAAAAGTATGTTTAGAACATATATATTAAAATAATATAAAGTAAAGTTAGATATAAATCAAGCTAAAGGATGTGGCAACCTAGTAAAATGGTCAAGTTGTCAACCTCCCAAGTGGTAGATTGGGT